GAAAAGCTGAGTTCAGCTCGTCAAGAAACGGCAAACCCACGATGGTGCCTCGCGACACTAACTATATTGAAACTCTTGGTTCTCCGTTCATTTCCTTCTATGAACTACTTATGATGAATATTCACTATGGCTGTCTTGGTACATTGTAGGAGTTTAGCTGTGCAGCTGGTATAAGGCTTTGAAAAGTGCTAATTCAGACAAGTGCAAGTCCCATCCTTCGGCCGCGAAGTGTTATATGGGTGGCTTCCCACATCCAAGAGACTGTTCCAGATGCGTTTGCTCAGGCGGTTACGGAGGCAAACTGTGTAACGAAAGAGTAAGCAAGATTGACATCATTTTTTAAGAAAATCGCGTTAGTTCTATTCGCATCCATATTTGTAGCCAGCCGGTTGCGGAAAGATCCTAACAGCTAACAGTAATTATCAAAAACTCGAAGATGTATTGGGCACCAGAGGAAGGGGAGAACGTGAAGACTTTGATATGTGTTACTATTGGATCCAGGTTCGCTTAGAAATGCTCAAATCTGCATTTTACTAACAGCAATCTTTCCAATGTTAAAGGCCCCACAAGGAAGAAAAATTGAAGTCAAGTTCGAGTCCTTCAGTGAAGGTGTAGCACTTGATGGATGCCCCTATGCAGGAGTTGAAATTAAGACCCAAAAGGATCAGCGTCAAACTGGTTACAGGTGGGATAAGGCATGGTGGTGTCAAAAAAACGCTGTGATTCTGCTAAATCTAGAGTCTGTGCTCCTGAAGATGCGGGACTTCGCTTAGTATCTGTATCAAACATCGTTCCTGTAATCACCTACAACAGAATAGAGGCAACAAGAACTGTTCTGCAATACCGCATGGGTACGTCTACCACCTATTTTCTATGAGCCAAAAAGAGAATGCGTCTTTTACATCAATGATTGTGATATTTCCAGTTTGACCAGTGGAAAGAGCGTCCATCGCCAGAACTTATCGTCAAAAATTGAAAACATCTTTGCACGAAAATTGACTCGCAATAAATTGCTTTGCAACATTTCTTTTGTTTAAGCATTCGGTAGTAAAAAACCTACCTTAGATTTGATACAATTCGTGAAACACACTATATACATGAAACCAGTACCACAAAAATGCCAATAGGACTTAAGAAGCTATATACTTTTTTC